CTTTGCCCATCCATCGATCTCCAGTTTTTGGTTTATTCTGAAACATTATCAGCATCAAACATCAAATTCTAGATACATAAAACTTCAGGGAAATAAATGGAAAACTTCTATGTAACGTTTCTCATGACTTGTTGAACTACAATTTAAACTTTTAAAGTATACAAAGTTGCATGTTTCTCTAACACCCATTATGAACAGTTAGGTAGATCAAAATTTGTTTTGCATACAAACAATTGGTTATAAATTATAAGCCCTAAGACAAGAAGTTGCAAACTGCTTTGTTAACAAACACTGAAAACTATTTCTTCTACACATACCTCACTTCTGTCAAGTCGAAGTTCTTCAGCTGTCTGACAAAAGAAATCAGCATCAGCTCGCATAGGCCACCCTAGCCGAAAGCACCGAACTGACCTAAAGTTGAAAAACATGGGATTTAATCATGTCGAGCTGTAAAAGACATAACTTTCCAATAGGCTAAATGATAATCATCTGCAATATACCAAAAATACTCATTTAAGTCGTCATAGTTTCTCCACTCAGAATGCTTCGACTTTCCTCCTCTGCTTCTCTTTGCTTCCTATAGTGCACAAATATGAAGGTTATAAAATGAAGGTGTAGGATCGGAGGAAAGCTAAAGCTGAAGCAAACAGCTACCTTCGCTATTGTCTTGTATATAGGAGTCACTACTTTCTGCAGGAAAGCTTCATCTTCACCACCATATGCGGGTTTTATATGCTCCCCTGTCATTGGACTAACACTCCCAGCCAACATCCCATACAACTCAAAAGCCATCTGAACAAGTTCAAAAGATAAGATTAAACTCGGATTAAGACACATTTAGGGAAAAAAAAACTCCTACCATAAATAGAAGAAATTTGCATTACTAAGTTCTGAATGTCACTAATATAATCATGTTTTTTCCCAATCCTCTCCACGTTAACATTTCACATACTCTTTACTATAGTACTCAACCATGAACACCTTGCCCTGGCATATTTCCTCATGAAGTTTGGAGTTCTTCAAACTTTACTAGTCAATTAGTAGATCTATATGTTAGCCAAGACCACCTTTCGAGCACATGATGCACTTTTCTAAATTACACCACATAGTTCCTAAACGTATATAGGGGAAACTGGATTTTTTACATACATGGTGATATATATAGCAAAGGCATTCTGGCATGAATCTCAGGTTTGCAGCTTCTCCCCATATTAAAAGATACAGTCCCATGTAAAGCAGCTTTCGCTGCTGAACCTCTTGTTGAATCGTCGGCAACCTACAAGTGGAAACAAGAGAGATTACTAGGAAGAAAAGCACAACGCGAATAACATTCAACGTATATTTACATCTCTTTCTATATTTTCAAGAAAAATAAGAGAGACTCACCAAAGGCTGCTTTTCCGACCCAAATATTTGCACCATTTTTTATAGTTTTTGAAAAGTTTCTTCATCACTATAGTCAATGCGCGATCATCCAACTAAAGGCAGAAATTGAAAAACTAAAGCGTTAGTGCAGGGTACAGAGGACTAGACGAGGCAAGAAAACATCACATCCAAGTTCAAAAGAGTAAATACCTTAGGTTGTTGTTCAGGTCTCGGAAACTGTCGAATGTGGACATTAGCAAGTAACAAAATCAAGTGCTCTCTTTGATTGGAAACATTATCTTTCTGCCAATTTAAAGGTTTGGATCAGAATCAGCACAGGGCGAAAATTCTCAATCAACTATACAAAAACAGTATATTCGCAAGAATCACCTGAAACCCAAACATAGTTTGAAGCCAGTCCAGCATGTCTTCATCGAGTTTCTTCTTGTGACCAGTTGGCCATGGTAGGCCCCTAGTGTTACGAAGTGCAATTACTGTAGCTTGTATCTGCAAAACAGTTTGCAAATGTTTATTTTTATTCTCTGACTCAAAAGACAACTAAACATACCATCGAAAGATTTAGTGGAATGTTTGGTTAACCTCAGGAAATCTCATTATAGCCTGATTTTGACTATCAGGATCAAGGGGAAGAATGTTGTAAGGCACGTAGATTTGGCTTTTTTCTTCCACCTTAGTGTGGGCTTCCAAAATCTACCAGCAAGAAAAAGGATGAACAGAAACAGGTGAGCCAATAATTTGGTAACCAAATTCATAGAAATATCAAGATGTTTCCATCAAAACATGGCTAAAGACCGCATGTAAATAGTTTATAATACTACAAGATATAATCTACTATCAGCTTCACCTCATCAGCCACTTCCACATCCTCTGTCTGATTAACAGCCTTCAAGACTTCAAAGAGAACAGCAGCAGTTTGATATGCCTTTGTAAGTTGAGCACTAAAAGCAAAAAGAAAACAAATTGTTTTTATGAAACAAGAACACAGATAGATAGATTGCAACAGAGATAAAACAGGATTTGAACAAACAGTTCCATCAAAACACAAACCGGTCAGCTTTGTCAGCAGCGTTTAGTAAAGCTTGGATGTATTTCTTGTAGTAGTGTTGATAGAAACTTTGCATTTCGCGTGCATCACTCTTCTGCCTTCCTGCAAGAGTTGTTTCATTCTCCTACAAAAGTTCAATAAACAAGAATTTTATAGGCAAGAAAACGGCATGAAAATGAAACTCAAGTAATAAATGAAGTGATGATATTCACCCGTTCTAACCGTTGAAGAAGCGCAGTCTTAAACTGGCGAACACCACGTCCACTTGATGTGGGATCAAGCCTGTGTGCCTTCTCAAACGCATAAAACCGACCTGAGGAAAGCATCCAAGCATCAAGATCATCTAAGATGAGCAAATCACATCATCAGGCGATTTTTTACATTAATTCAAACTCACATAAGTAAGCAACACGCGGGTTACTAGCTTCCACTTCATTGGCTACACGAAGGATAGGAGCAATCTCCACAAGGGACGATGGTACCACTTCACTGTCTAGCATAGCCTCTCCGAGATTACCAGCAGTTTGAGTCCGCAGAATCCGCCTCTGGGGCGGAGGCGGATCAGGTCCTCTCCTTTGAGCCATCTTTTAAATCCTCCTAAAAATTAAACTGAATAAAATACAAAAGAGCTTTCACGCCACCATCAAGAACAAACTTTGAGAACTATTTTAACTAAAAAAGAGCAAATCATAAGCTCCTGAAAGAGAGTAGACAAAGGGTGCAATCAAATAGCGATCCGGAAAAGAAAAAAAAAGAAAAAACATGAATTGTTTCATTCCGAACCTTCACTCCAATTAAATCGAAAAGAGACGATAAATGCAAAAAGGTTGCTCTTTTAGTAAAAAGAAAAAGGATCCGAAGAGACCCAGAAAAAGTAAGCATAAGATGTGTAAAGCACAAACTTTATCGCGAAATCTAATCACCCAGAACCTTTGATTCACAGCTACCTAATTCTGTGATGAAAGGAAATCTGCCTATTTAACAAAAAGTATATATACAAAAATATTAACTTTCCTTTCAACTCGATCTGGTAATCTCCGAGTTCACCTAACATCTTCGATTATCCATTGCGAGACACAAAAAAAATCCTAATTTAGAAGTAGCAAGGCTTCACCTTTTCGATGTCCATCGGAAAACAATCATGAATTGAAAAACAAACCCAATAAGCGATTACTGATACCATTTTTTAATAACTCCGATAAACCCCAGAAGACGAATCTATATATGGTCTCACTCAAAAGTGTCTAGTGAAAAACCCAATTACGAAAAATTTAACCTTTTGAATCGGATTCGGATTAGTAACGTATCCGACCAAAACAAAGAAAAAAAAAAGCAAAACAATAAGCTTCCGAAATCAGAAACTACGAGTAAATTCCAGAGATCAATCATCACCTGATTGAGAGATGAAAAGAGAAGCAGATGATCAAAGCCTACGATTGCTTCGAGGAGAAGCAAGTGGGTGCGATGGAAGAAGAGCAGAACGACGAGTAATCCGTCATCTTCCCCAAAGTAGCATCAGAGAGAATAGGAGAGAGAAGAGTGTGGAATTGCAAGATAAAGATTGGGAAAAGCAACGGGAACAAGACAGGCGCCAATGTTTTTTTTTTCTTTTTTTGGTGCTAATTTATTATTTCTTTTTGATGTTTCGGTGCATATTTTGTATTTCAACCAATGGAGAATGGCCACGACATCATCTCCAAATTCCAATGTTCTTATGCTTTTATCTTTAGAAGATGCTGGGTCGTTTTCTTAGGTCTATGTATATATGATGTAATACTATATTTTTTCACCAACATATATTTGATAAAATAAAATCGGGAAGTGAAATAATTACGTGTGCCAACTGCCAAGTGTTAACTACTTTCATCGAGTGAAATTTGAACCTATATATAATCAGAACATGAAATTAGTTCAATTTTGTGTTATATATAAACACTAGATATTTAGCAAAAAATATATATAAACACTGCACAATGATACAAGTGCATTGTTCAGATATTTTGGATACGAATCCCAAAAACATTTGAGGTAATTCATATTTTGACACAAAAAAAAATTGAGTTTGATTGATATCTTTAAATTCGAATGATCTTACCCCTAAAAGTCCCAAAAACAGTCTACGGTTTTTGTAGAAGAATTTTCATTGGCTGTGAATTTGGTTACTATATTTGCATGAAAGTAAAAGAAAGTTAGCGACACTTGTTATTTGTCTGTCGAAAAGAAATTGTACACATGTGTGTTTCAGTGTTTGACTATGTTACTAAAAGTTTTAAATAATTACAATATTTTTATATTTAAATCAGAGAAATGCTTGATATGATAATCTAAACATATTTTCATTGATTCTTCTCAATTTATATTGTAAATATAGTTAGTGGGATCCATGAGATGATTTTCAGAAACAGCATATCCGATGCCAGATCTAATGCTATCTGAATTTCACACATACATACATACCCAGACCAATAAACTTGTCAATTAACTTCGGTTTAGTTGCCGGTAACCGGTCACCGGCGAGACCGGCAGGTGTCTCGGAGAAGACGACACAGTTTTATCTGTTTTTGTAAAGCCGAAACACTCTACTTTTAGTTACGTCTTTCATTTCTTCAACGCTTTAGTCTTTTTCAGTTTTTACCCCCAATAGAAAGAAGAATCAAACTTTTTGTTTTACCAGAAGAAGACTCTCTCCGTCTACCAAAGGTCACCTCTTTTCTTCCTCCTCTATCTCTTTTCTTTCGCTGTAACTAGGTTTTATATTTGGCCCCCTTTAAAGGATTATGTCAGGATTTTCATTCGATCGTTTATCTGCAGTGTTAACGATGAGGAGGTGCCTTTCCAAAATCACTGAATGCCAAATGGGTTTCAAGAATTTGAATTTTTTCCTGGTAAATTTTTGATCTTTTCCCCTGTTTACTTTGCTAAATTTTGTTGAATCTCCCTTCTTCCATAAGCTTTGGGATCCGATTTCTCCCACTCAAGTTGGTTCCTTGTTTGATATGATTCATTCCTGAAGCTAGCTAGTATTCAATTAACTTCCAAAGGTCAATTTTTTTACCGGAAATATGGTTTCTCAAGGATTTTCGTTAAGAGTTGACGAATGTTAATTGAGTTAATATGTGGGCTATGTGTTTGTTTTAGAGAATCAATTCTTAATTGTGGTTTTTGGGATTCTTCAACAGGTTGGGTCAAGCTCAGTATCAAGAACCATAACTACTGCTATTGAGCGTTCATGTAGCAGTAATGCAGCTCAAGTTGATCATCAGACAAAAGACAACTCTGTCTCGGACATGTTGATTGATTCATTTGGTCGGATGCATACATACCTGAGGATATCTTTGACGGAGCGGTGTAATCTCCGGTGTCAGTATTGCATGCCGTCTGAAGGCGTTGAACTTACTCCTAATTCTCAGTTGCTGTCACAGTCTGAGATTGTTCGTTTGGCTGGTCTTTTTGTTTCTTCTGGGGTTAACAAGATTCGTTTGACCGGTGGTGAGCCTACTGTTAGGAAAGATATTGAAGAGATATGTCTGCAGTTGTCTAGCTTAAAAGGGTTGAAGAATTTGGCTATCACTACCAACGGTATCACTCTTGCGAAAAAGCTACCAAAGCTTAAAGAATGTGGTCTTGATTCGTTAAATATCAGCTTGGATACTCTGGTTCCAGCAAAGTTTGAGTTTCTCACTAGACGTAAAGGGTACGAGAGGGTTATGCAATCCATTGATACCGCTATTGCCCTTGGATACAATCCTGTAAAGGTATGTTAATAATCCTCACTTCCATTTGATTGCAGTAGAACGATCTTTGATGCTAGAGAGTTTGGTCTTTACAGGTCAACTGTGTTGTCATGAGGGGATTGAATGATGATGAGATTTGTGATTTTGTGGAGTTGACACGCGAGAAGCCAATTAATGTCCGGTTCATCGAGTTTATGCCCTTTGATGGAAATGTTTGGAATGTAAAGAAACTTGTGCCTTATGCAGAAGTGATGGATAAAGTGGTAAGGTAGAATTCTCTCAAATGTATTGGCTCTTTTTGAGATTCATCGACCTTTCCTTGAGCATTTTCATGATTGGTTTCAGTTGTTATGGTAACAGGTAAAGGGCTTTCCGAGTATAAAACGTATGCAAGATCACCCGACTGAAACAGCTAAGAACTTTACAATCGATGGACATGTCGGTTCTGTATCTTTCATCACATCCATGACAGAACACTTCTGTTCCGGCTGCAATAGATTAAGGTTACTTGCAGATGGGAACTTCAAAGTATGCTTGTTTGGTCCTTCAGAGGTAAGAGAGCATCTACACATTAACTTGATTCCTGGTAAAAAATGAGGATTCTTGGTTGCTTCTCAATAACGTTAAAATTGACAATCATTTTGTTTCACACTATAATTTTCTTTTAAGCACAGGTTAGTTTGAGAGATCCTCTCCGGTCTGGTGCTGATGACGAAGCGCTAAGGGAAATTATAGGCGCTGCGGTGTGTATTTAGTTGCTTCATCTGAGTTTACATACCTTCACAATATCTCTTCTCTGTTTTTTTCAAAGATTGATTTGTGTTTGAGTCATAAGATTTCACAATGGTGTTTCAGGTGAAGAGGAAGAAAGCCGCACACGCTGGAATGCTTGACATTGCCAAGACAGCTAATAGACCAATGATACACATCGGTGGCTAAAGCACAGCTAATGTAAGTTCTTTAAGCCATTGTTTATGATTAATCAATTAATGTGTACAAATTAACCAAGCATTGAACCAACGGACTATCTGATTTGGTTTGTAACTCAAATTTTGTCGATACTTTGGTCGCTCCAAGAATCGATTCAAGGATTTTGACACTTGATCTGAGTAACAGTCTTTGATTCATCGATCATTTTTGTGTACTGTGTGTGTTTTTTTTTTCTTCTTTTTGGGGTGATCCATGGAGTTATTCTTCTCTTTACAGGTTGGGGAAGTTCTTGGAAAACACAAGAAGGAACATTGAGTTCCATATTTTGTAAGAATCTATCTCCCTGCTGCTCCAACTATGTGACAGAAATTTTTGCAAACAAGAACAGAAATAGTTTATATGTGTTCTTATCTGTATACGTTATAGATACTGTACAGGAACTCAGAATTCCTATATGAACTTTCTCAGTCCGATTACTTTTCTTATTTATGATGTTTATCCAATGTTTATCTGTTTCAACTTTTGAAAGTTATTAACTTGTAATTTCACAAACTGGAACTCAAAGCAAAACAAAACTTCCATTAACATTTGTTGACTATTTTAGACTTTAAATCAATACGTTATCTCGTTATGTATTCAATGTCGCTCAATGTTTCATTTCTATTTCGTTTTCATTGATAATCCGATCCCCCTCAAAATCACTTCGCTTCTAGTCTTCTACTCGTATTTGTTGATTATGTTGGGGATTAAATCAACATGTTATGTATTAAAAACAAAAAAAAAAACAAAACAAAAAGCTTTTACTTTTACGTTCTCAAAAATAAAGTTTCAGATTTTGATGTTTTTTACGTGTAGGTTGATTTGATGCTGGGTTGCTGACGACCATATAACTGTCCTTGAATTATCATTTTTCACTATCTTAATTGTCTTAATTTCTTCAATTTTTATTTTTACTCAAAATCATGATTTCATGTATACATGAAGCGTTTCAAGATAATTTATAAGAATGATATACTGATAATATATTTATGTGGTTGGTGGAAACCAAACAAATCCACTTGCAATATCTGATCAAATTGCTTTTAACCATATCATAAAACTGAGTTTTTATTATTAAAAAATAAAATATAAAACAGAGTTTTAAGTACATAACTTGTATTCTACTCTTTTATTCACTTTAACAAATAGAGATTATTTTCTTGGCTAGCCTTTGCCTTAAATAGATTATTAATATATAATGATTGATGGATTTAAGTTTAAGAAAGAATAGGACAAGGCTTCCTGCAAATGCATCTGCGAATGAATCCTGCGCATCGACCATCAGGGAAACCTTCGCTCATACATACTCGCTGGCAATTCCTCCACTTCATACACATTCCCCTAAAATTTATGCTTCTTGCTTCGCATATTTGTTGTCCTTGAACCATCTTCATACCTATAGCATGATATATCTTTATTACTCAATAATAATTCAAATTTATGACCTTACATATAATCACGTTTATATATCTCATTACAACAAATATCTTTCAGTGTTTTCAACGCCTAATATTTTATGTAAATTAAGCCTAATTCGTTATAACCAAAATTTAAGAGTTCATCACAGTATTGCCATTTGAACATTAGCAATTTTCTATTGATCAATTGTTATAAAAGAAATCTGAAATTTCAATTTTCTATCGAAATGGTTTTGTACTACATAAATCCATTGCAAAGTACAAAAGTATGTTATTTATATAATTACTTCGTCATCAACAATCTTTAAATCCATAAAACAAATTAATTAAAATAAACAAGGAAACTAAAATATAAAATTTTAACATATATTTTACTCCCTCCGTTTTTTATTAGTTGTCGTTTTAGAGAATTTTGTTTGTTTTAAATTAGTTGTCTTTTTCAGTTTTCAATGCAACATTTATTAGTTTTTTATTTTTTAAGATTATTTTTATTATGCAATTTGTTTTATTATTGGTTGAATTGTGTTTAAACAGATAATTAATGATGTTTTTATATTGAAAAACTAAAACAATTAATATTTTCTTAATTTGTGTGCATAACTTTAAAACGACAACTAAATAAATCCGGAGGGAGTAGTAGCTTTCGTTATCACATAATACTGTGGAAAATTATATTTATTTACCTGGAGCGGCAAGAAGTATGACTAAGAAGAAAAGTGAAGAGATTAACTGCATAAAATTCTTCATCTTTTCTTAGTTACTAGTCAAGCAAAAGAATCAGAATTTAGAGAGAACAATACAGAGCTATTGATATTGGATTTAACTTGTAACAATGAGTGTAAGGAGGTTGCATTTTTATAGCAAACATAAGTGTATAGCTTAATTGGTAAAATATCAACATATCTAATATCCCTTAATGTTAAAATGAAAGACAGTAAACATATGTGGAATAAAATATGAAATTTAAGAAAAAAATGTGAATCTATATTTTTCCAAGATCATGTCCTTTAATTTATATCTATGGTACTAAATTGTATTTAAGCATGTGTATATAAGCTAAAATATTTGTAATTTGTACACTAGGTGGCATGATTATATATTCTGTTTTATTTTTGCGAGATTATATTCCTTTTATATATTTTGCACTGAATTTTACTCTAAGTTGCATGGACGCGGATATGCGGAAGTAAAACGTTTAGAAGCACGAAAATCTACCTTTTTAAACAAATTAGAAAACCAATACAAGTAGGAAACGTTATATATGGGCACAATACTTATATATACATAAACAATGGAACATTTTTTTTTATATACATAAACAATGAAACATTAATTATTTAGCCGTAGTAAAAACATAAAAACATTTTAATAAATCAAATAATCAGAAAACAGAAGATATAGTATGTCTCTAAGATAAAGCAAAGAACCATAAATATATGTCTCTAAGATGGTGATGATGATGTAGCTGTTGTTGTTGCTGCCTCATCTTGTGAAGAAGGCGAAGGAAGAGAAGAAGGAGAAGAAGAGTAATTAGAGGAAGGAGACATCTCGCCGCCGGCAGGCATATCCTGAAGCGCCGCCAGAAACCGGCGGATACTGAGGGACCTCGCCGGTCGAAAACTATAAGCCCTCTTCAAAGAATTCGATTTAGAGAAAACCTTGGACGATTTAGAGAGGATGAGATACACCAAACCTTGAATCAGAGCAAATAAGACTAACTTTATCAACATCGTTCCCAAGCCTCCTTCCATTTGTTGTAATATATGGAATATACTCGATCTCGAGATGAGATTCAGAAAATGTTTTGTTTTGTCTTCCCTTGTAATTGTGTCAAGATTTGAAGATGAGTTTGAGATTGAAAATTTTAAGTTCATGCAGAAAGTTAAACAGCTGAATTTATAGAGAGAAAGAGCGCCTTGCGTATTTGACCAAAGGCAGATACGTGGAAGTAACGGACACAATATATCGTAAGACCTTATCCGGTGAGAGGAAAGGACACTGGACACGCCATATTTTATCTAGAAATATAACGATGCGAGAACAAGAAAAATGAATAGCAAGAAATTTAATATAGGTGGTTTTTTTTGTTTTGTTAAAGAATATAATATAGGGGAAATTGATAAGAAACGTTTATAATATGATAAAGCTAGAGAAATCGCACTACCTAACAAAACTGTAATCCATCAGCAGAAATTAAAGACTATCAATTTTATATAGTAAAAAGAGGAAATTGGTGTTGACCAAACAAAAAACAATTTGGCTAAATGGTTTTTGTTTTTGTTCTCCAATGTGGTTACTGTTATAATTGTTTTAGTAATTTGTCAAACTCGTACTGTATACATTTTCAATATAAAATTTATATTCAATTAAATTTACTTTGTAAAATTGGTATCACCGATTTGGATTATTAAACTGCTCTATATATTTAGATTATAAAAAAAAAAGACTAAAATTTCAAGAAAATCTTTAATTTGACTCAGAACATATTTTTCTAAAAGAAGAGATTCAATCATCGCACTCACTTCTAGCAAGATTTAGTATAATCATGTTAACTTACATACATTATGACGAGAAGTTATACCAAAACTTAATACATGAGACGAAAGATTACATGAAATGGTATAACTGGTAAATAAAATATATAAAAAATTCAATAAACATACATCATGAATCCATTCCATTATACTTTAGACCCAAGGAGAGTAAAGAAAGTAGAAGACCCAAATACGATGAGTTTTTTCATCGAAGAGGAAACCAACGTTCTTGAAACTGAGACTGATAAGAAACCATGAAAAAGAGAAAGACGAGCATGAAGGCCACTCCCCACGACGTTCCTCCAGCTCTATACAAAGTCTCCCTCTCGTTCAGAGGGATCAATGACGTCATCATCCCTCCTCCTCCATCGTTGGATAGAAAATGGACGGCCAAGAGCAAAAGCAGAGGAGAAGCCATGAGAGCAAGCTTTAGCTGGTCCGTAAAACCTTCTATGACTGGTTCGTAGCTCGCGTACGATGAAACTGTTACGAACATTAAGAGGATGAAGAGGAAGACGCAGAGATGTAGTGGAACTGGAGGGCTTCCTTCGTGTTCTCTTCCCATGGCTTCTCTATCTTTCTTTAGATTCTTGACTATTGTTGTTGTTGTTGTTTTTCTGGTGAAAGACTTCTCGAGATGTGAGAATTTTGCTGAGGGACTTGAGGTTTTGGTGAAGAATGAGGTTGGTTTTATAATGGGAAATTAAGTAACAATTAATGTTTGCTTAGGATCCTACAAGAATGAATTTAATAGGGCTGTATATTTTTTTTTCGTTGGCAGCAAATACATCTGTACATATAAAAAAATAATAGTATATAATATATAGTAGATCATCTAATATATTATTTAAATTTATGGATATGTAGGTTATGAATCAATCTGAATTAACAGACAATTTTTTCATATCAAGTAGAAAAACCTAACTAATCATCAATCATAGCAACAGAGAAATACAAACTTAACTTAATTTTCTAATCATTTAATTAAAACATATATGTTTATTGATGTAATAACAACAATATTTGTATTTTTTATGTAGTTAGATAAATAGGTTTAAACAGAGATCAAGCTTAAATTATTGAACAAAGTTGAATAAATAGTAGCTATAAATTTGAGAAATATACTTTAAGCTAAATAAATATTACTTTACGTACTAGTAGTATTTGTGTATAATGTGCTACCCAAAATAAAGTGAATGAAAAAGAGTCTTGGCACTTTAATTAAAGATTCTTGCTTTTTGACGGTGCCATAGGTTACTTAACAAGGTCGGTGAAGCCATGCATCTCCAGTTTTATTGGTGACAAATATTTACCCAATTATGATCTGCCACGTACCACCGACCCTTTCCCTACGTCTGAGGTCACCTGATACTTTCTCGTTTATTTATTCTCCAATGTAGAATATGATAATATACCAACCATACTAGAACGAAATACAAGAGAACTTGATTAAGCACGAGTGCACGACTATAGATTAGTAGATAATAGTTTAAGCGTTAGAAGCTTTTAATAGATGGAAAATTCATAGCTCTTTTTATTTTCTGTTTTAATGGTGAGTTAATGGTTGTAGAAAGGTAAATATCTAGAGACCAAAAATTTGGGTTGTGAAGAATAGAAATATTCTATAGCCAAAATTTTACAGCGATAAAACGTAAAGGTATAGTAGAAAACCTTAACATAATTTATACAACCAAAATAAAAAATAAAACCAAAACTCTTACCAGTCAAGTCAAAATCTTTTCACATTTTTATTATTACTTTAACAAAATAACATTTTTATTGTTATTAAATGTTATCTTCTTAGGAAATGAGGCATCACTGATTTGGAGGTTAGCGATTACATTGCCATGCTTCCGTACATAAATTATTATTGTCTAATAGGAAATGATCTCAGGCAATTGTTAATTAAATTAAAGAGAAATTGTGTATTGAAAAGAAAAGAAAAGAAAAAGTAGAAATACGTATATGTATTGTATATGGCAAGAGTTCAATTTAATACTTTTTCAAACAAAAGTTCAAAAATCACTTATAAATAAAATAAAAACAAAAATTATATTTGACTGACTGAGAAAATTAATTACATAGTACTTATTTAAATATTTGCCAATTAATTAAGGGTACCCTGCAATAATAAAACGAAAGAAAAACGAGAGGATGGGTCGTAGTCAGACAGCGTCAGTTGTATTGTCCATCTATCTAATGTGTCACTCCAACAACTACCGAGAATATTCGAGGGAGGCAGCGATCTAATATGTATTAAAAAAAAAACAAAAAAAAAAAACTACACAGTGCCTTCTATGGTTTCTCTAGCCTTAACCTTTTTTTTTGGGTATGATTCTCTAGCCTTAACCTCTCTTCTCTTTTTTTTTTTGTGTACCTCAAATTTAAAAATTGCAAGTGTATCAGAGCAAAAACTCATAATCCTTTGAGGCTTTGAGCCATATATACTTGGGACTATATACTTTGTTTGTTCTTTTGAAAATATTTTAGAATTTTATAGCTAACAAAACATTTAAAGTGACAATCATAAACCTAATGTTCACCTACAACCGTAACCAGGTCTAACTAGTGACCAGTGGGCGATGATCATGCTATAGCACCCTCAAATCTCGAGAGCTAGTCGGACAAAAAAAAAAGAAAAATTGGCAAGAGCTCAAAACAAAACACAAGAGATTCTTATATATATAAAAAAGACACTCAAAACTAAATGGTGCTAATTACACTCTCAAAAGTCAAAACCAATATGTCAACAACATACCTGCACATCAATAATACGTACGTACGCGAAACATATCTAATAAGTAATAACTAAATATACGCGTATATATGATCACGCACATGAACGTATGTATGTGAATGTAAATTAAGTTTTGAACCGTAATACCGATGTTTTGCGGTCACGTTTGGCCTTTATCAAACCGCTCAAGACCTTAACATATCGACCCATCATACCTTTGAATTTCACACCATTTTCACCACCTTGCTTTTCTTTCTTCACCACCAATTGCATCGTCTGCTTGATCCCCTTGTCGTCCCCGAAATGTTGACCTAGAGAGCTCTTGTTGTTAACTTGAGCTTCTTCATTCGTTTCTTGCTCGCATCGCATCAGATTGTTCAAACTCTTACGATCAACCTCTTGGTCTTCCTCTTGTTCTTGTTCTTTCTCTGGTTGTGAGCTTTGCGTGGATAAGTCTTGGACCTCTTGTTGCTCGTTGATGAGACTTGACCATGGCTTTCGGGTTCTTCTCGACATGCTTATGTCGAACCGTGTCTTGATGGGGTTTATTACTTCACTCCCCATGTTTGATCATACAGAAATAAATTTTATTTTATTTACATGATGAGACAACTATATATGAAGGGATTGGCTACAAAGAGTAGTTGTTGGTCCATTTCTTCTTTCTTTTTCTAAATTAAAATCTTTGGTCCATTCCCCTTTGATTTGTACCGTAAAGAGGTAGGTGAGTTTTGGGGTTAGTTTGCTTTATTAACAAATAAAGAAATGATTAAAGTTTTGACACATCATATTTTGGATTAGTTGCCCTACTAATAAATAAAGATATAAGATGGATAGATCAATCGATTAAAACTGTAGAATTAATTTATAATAATTAATACAATGAGTTGCCAAACAAAAAAAAAAAGGTTAAATTTTTTTTTTTGTTTTTAAGCAAACTGTAGAAGAGACACTCGTAAGATTGACGGAAATATTATCCTAGTATGTGATCTTAATCTCTGGTCCGATTTTTTACAACACAACAAGAAAATGACGACAAAGGAGTGGTTAAAGAGAGACATCAAATTAGGAAAGGTAGAAATAAAGCAACTTCACAAATTTATAAGAAATTTGGTTCGACAGGAGACCCAATAAACAAGTTGGAGTGTCAATACACACAAGCGAATGATCTCATTTGATCGGACACTTCAATTGTGTCCGTTATTCCAAGCATTTCCTATGATTTTGACATGTTATCAAGATCTTTCTTTTGTGTTTGATTTTTTTTTTAAAAAAAAAAAAATCCACCGTAAATATTATTCAAGTTACTATCTTCTTTACAAATGAGAATGTTGATTATATACAAAACCTACTAAGTGCACATACAACCCTACTCAATTTTATCACATACTATAGTCTTCAACAACAGTCTTAAAACAAGATCGAACCGTATACCAAAATCGAAAATAATTTGGGTTTGGATTGATAACCTGCAGAATTACAGAATTGTGGAAAAATATTTACCGAATAAAATAATTTTTTAAAAAACTCGCTTTCCACCTGATGACTTTTTTTGTATGAATAATTCACTGAGTTTTTTGTGTTTATTTTGCCCTACTCTATTTGTCACATACTAACCCTACTACACATAGATAAAATTGACAGGCTTAACCACAATCTTGACCGAACAGTATACCAAAAAACCGATAAAATAATTTGGTTTGACACCATCGACATCCTTTGTTACCTCCTCCAAATACTAGTTACCACTTCAATCCAACTTGGTCGAGTTATCACTTTACTAGTTACGTTTACTTATTCAATCCAGTCCACAATGTGCATTTAGGATTTTTCAAAAGAAACAAAAATAATAATAACATTAATAAAAAATACAGTAATAATTAACAAAAGTCCTCGGCGACAAAAAAAAAAAAAAAATTAATAAAAAGTCCTCGTGCTTTACACCTGCAACCAACAAAAGTTTCCAAATCTCGAAGACAGAGAGAGCTTTTTAGCATTCTGACAAAAACTGTCTTACTTTTTATTTTTCCGGCATAGTAAACGACGAAACTCTCTACACTCCCCGAGACATCTTTTGAGATTCCCTCCCACTCTTCTTCCCCACTCTCTTCCAAAAGATGCTGCTTTTTCCTCGTGAGTCGACTCACAAATGGCGTGCCTTACACCTGGACTCCTCTCCAACCTTCTCGACATCGCCGCCGGAAAATCCTCTTCTTCTCCGCCGTTGTTATCTTCTCACCGTTCCCCACTCCTCCAGGTGATCGAGATCGTTCCCTGTCTCTCCGACGACCAATGGTGCAGCGAACGATTCTTTCTCAAAGTCTCTGACTCTCTCCACGCCGCTTACGTCGCCGTTCCCGCCGGTGAAGACGCCGATCTGATACGTTCCGATGAGATTCAGTTAGGTCAGTTTGTTTACATCTGCGGTGGTTTACACGTCGAGAAAGGTTGTCCTGTTCCTGTAATCCGTGGGTTGAAACCTGTCCCGAAGCGACGGATGTGCGTTGGAAACCCTAGCGATCTCTTCTCTAGCGATTTCTTGCTTAATCTTACGAAGAAGAAGAAGATGAAGAATCTAAGTGAGAATAGGAGGTTGAGCTTGGATTCTGCGAGAAGGAGTTGTTGGGATCACACTCCTCCGATGACTCGCCGCCGTGACGCTGCATTGATTGCTTCTTCTCCACGTCTCAAACCTAATTTTGTACATCTTTCATCTTTTTCCTCTGTTTTGTGAAAAAATAGAACTTTTTAGCCCATTTTGTTGCGTTTGGTTTTGTGGAAGTGTATGGTTTCTTCTTCTTTACGTTGCTTCAATTATCTGAGATTGATACAAGCGAGTGAAACTAACCATACTAGTTTCAAGAGACGTTTAAAAGTTGTTTCTTGTAGATATGCATCAAGTTTTGATATTGGCTTCACAGTTCAGTGAGTTCATAATATTTCTTGATACCACAAATTTTCGATGTCTTTTTGTAGGTCTTGACTGATAGGTATCTACCAAAGAATGAGTCCCCATCAAAGCACCTTAACTGCGAAAAAACCCCTGTCCCAAGAAACAGAAATGTGGCTATGCCTGCATCACCTATATCCATGGCTAATAAATCTCCAAAAGATGGTGTCAAGCCGTTGTCAAAGGCAGTGGCTCCTCCGGTTGCGCTTTTTAAGCTGCCTTCAAGTCACAGTACTTGGTCTGATCAGAGAATCTTATGGACTGGACTCCCAAAAACCATTCAATTGCTCGGAAAGGTACCGGTATTTGGAAACCTTCAAGCTCTAGTGACTCTGACAATTAGTGTTCATGTGTTTTCAGTCTCTCATTTCAGGAAGTTTCATCACATAGGAAAGTAGCAGTTTCGGCCGCAGTAAATGCACTAGAGGAAGCATCTGCCATGGAGTCTGTTCTTCTCAGTTTGCAGTATGTTTTCTCCATCACTAAACGGCTTCTGTTAGTACTTTTGTTATCAATGCTTATATATGACTTTGTTCCTTCACAGGTCCTTTGCCGAACTGTGTGATTCTTCTAAAAAACTATATGCAGGACAAGTTGTGCGCCAGTTCTTGGACATCTACCACAGTATACAAAATACAGGCAAAGCAATCCATCTTTTGCTTACTCATAATGGAAACAATGGCTCGTGTAGATCAACAGCTAATAAAAATGCAACATCTTGGGTTCAAGATGCAGTAGTGACCGGTTTTTCCGAATTCAATTTATTCAAAGAGCCTGGAAAGCAAGAAGATGATGCTGCTCACAAAAACCATCACCACTACATTGTTCCACAGAAATCTTCCGAGAAACTGAATCTCAAGGAGACAACAAGTCCAAGAAACCAAGCTTACAAGGGTATGAGACCGTATTCAGCGAAACATCGTTCTGTTTTAGACAGAAGTAACTTAGAAGGTAAAAACAGGTTGAAAGAGTCAGCGAGCCTAGCGGACGAGCTACTCCGAGTTTCCAGCCAATGGTTTTTGAAATACTTGGAGAACTCACTAAAGAAAGGTTCCTTGTCGGTGAAGAAAGAAGAAGCCATTGGAAAAGAGTCTCTTCTTGTCCATCTTAAAGCGGTAACTCGTTGGCTCGATGGTCTGATTTCAAACAAAACGGAAACCAACAGCGAGAAAGTCAAAGATCTAAGAGAGAAGCTGCAACGGTTTCTACTTGAACATATCGAATCTGCTATCAGAGAAACTCGGTAACATAATCCTTTTTGGATTCTTGATTAAGTGATTAAGTTGACAAAAACGTAACAATTTAATCAGAAAGATTTGTATACAGTAAGGAATAAAAAACACAAGTCTTGTCATTTGCGCATTCCCATTTGATACTGTTCGTCTTCCTCGCCATCTTCCTCTGCATGAGAATTCATAAAAGGCTTAGCTTCATGAGCGTTCTTGGCCTTACCACCTTCAACATTTTCTTGATTGTTTCCTCCAGTTTGTCTATTGGCGGCTGAGTATTGCTGGATCACAAGAACCGAAGCTTGCATTGTAAAGTTGGATGAAGCTAATGTATCACCTATAGTCCCTAAATCCGGACTACTACTCCAATCTGTCAAACCTGCGGTCACAGGTGATTCTACTTTGTAACCTCTTCCAACAATGTAAAGATCGTAAGAATGGTTATCTTCCAATTCTCTAATCGCTGCAATCGTCTCTTGACCATCGTTCACAACTTTCTCTATATAAGTCACCGATGAATCATCCATAGTCTTGAAGTTAAACTCGTAGATACACTCTTCGTCGACTTGTTTCTCTTTCTCGTACGCAGCCGTGGATTTCCCGGCTGCGACAAATCTCACAACCGTGAGTTTAATCATTTCTTGTCCAACCATCCTCCATGCATAAGCCAAAGCCTCTCTATCGTCTCTACCTCCAACGAACAACATTGCTACTTCTTTCTTACTGGTTTCCCCTTGGAACGAAGATGATTCAGACCGGACAATGGTCATGCCACGGTCGACCAAAATCCCTACCGAACATGGCGCGTGGCTCAAAACGTTTCGGTTGATTTCTGCATGCGCATCGTTTCCTTCTCCTAACCGACCATCCGACGTCAAGTTCTTATGGTATGGCAATAAAACTAAGCTGACTCGTTTGTCCTCAGCCAACGTACAAATATCTTCATGCATGGTCGCGTAAGGTGAAACAGCAGTGATGGTTTGGACCATCATCGCGTTGTTGTTCACTTCCATACCTTCGAACATCTCAGCTATCTGTTCGGATTCTGCTCTGACTCGGTCCGAGAAGTTAGCTTTTGGTTTGGCCTCGTCGTTCATTATGAGCATGGAAGCTGTGGTGCGACCGGTTAGTTCGACTAGGTGGATTGCGAAGACGTTGAGAGGAGATTGCTTTGTCGGGTTAGAGAGTTGTAATAGACTGGTTATGCCGGAGACGTTAGGGAGTACATGGACGCAGGTTAATACACGAAGCTCTACTTCTCCTTTGAGTTTTTGAACGGTTCGGTATTTATAGAAAACCGCTTTCTTCTTTGGTTTGTATGCAACGGTTAAAAGTGGCTGCACCACTATTGACATCGCTAGGAACATTAACGTCATATGAGTGTACATTATTACGTCCAATGCCTGCATGACAAAAAATAATGATTATATAATTAGTATGCAAAGATAAAATTAAAAATTGCATTTCTCGTTTTTAATTAGTGTAATCAAAATTTTACTACCAAACTACGTTTTTCTTATGTAAAACCTAACAATTAAGTTTTATCTAAATTAATATATGAAGGAAAAAAAAAAGATGCAAATTGTGAGAAAATAAAACTAACCCTGGTGTCTCGTCCTGCATTGAGTGTGACTAAAGCCATAGTTCCTTTGGTGTTCATAAGCGCACCAATAGCTAAAGCATCACGCAAAGGGATACGCAAGAAGAAGGAGCAAACAACAGTGGACAAAATCTTCACCATAAAAGAAGAAGAAATCACAAACACCATCATTCCAACGCTCGTGTACTTAAACATGTAATTAAGATCGATTCTTAAACCGCAGATGATGTAGAAAAGAGGCATCAATATCCCCGAGAGGAAATCGTGGAGCTTCTCTTCGATCATGTTTCGAATGATGTGGTCGTGAGGGATCGAGAGGCCGAACAAGAAAGCTCCTGTGATTGAGTGGACTCCAAATGTGTCGGTGATCAAGCTGCATAGAAGGACTCCTGCTAGAGTGAACCATACGTGAGTGTCTCCTACGTTTCCTCCTTTGACAGTGTTTGCAAAGGCCCAAGCGATTCCAGGACGCATCACGTAGATGCAGAAAAACACGAATGCGATGGTTGATACTATTGCGTATGGCATCATTTGGTTATATATACCTAATATTTTCCCATGTTTAATTTAAATAAAAACATTCAGTACTAACGAAATGTTTTATTTAATACATTTTCAGATATATTTGTAGGAACGATCATATAATTACCTTGTTTGGTAAAAGTTGCAATGCCTATAACGAGGAGAACCCAAGTGCACAAATCAGTAATAATGGCTGCACACATCGCGGTGCGTCCCATATCCGAACGCAAGAGCTTGAGATCCGCAAGAATCTTGGCAAGATCGGGGAAATTGGTGCAGCCAAACGCAACCGACCAGAAGAGACAACCTGCGAGGATCTTGTCGGAGTCTCCGTTACCGGGAATGTAATATAAACCAGCACCGGCTGCTAAAGCCACGAGGAGGCCAACGATAGCTATGACCAGTGGTTTGACTTCTTTGAGTTTTATCATCCTCAAGTCCATACCGAGACCGAGGAGGAAAATGTTGTAGACGAGAGCTAAGTTTGCGAATGTCTCGAGGACCATTGTGAATCTAAATGGGAACAAATGTGTGAGGACAAGTTCGTGTCTGCCGAGCACAGTCGGGCTGAACAGTAATCCGCACTGCAAATTATAACCGCAAGAAAACAAATCAACCTTTACATAATTACATAGGAAATGGAAAATAATATGTATAAATATAAATATTGCAAATGAATAAATCTTAGTTAGTTATTTGGCATTTCCCATTTTTTTCTTTTAGAAAAATGGCTAAACCGTCGTTTTCTAAAACAAAGCAAAAACTGATTTCTTGTTTTTTTCTATAAAAGAAAAAGGAGGCAAAAACTGACTTTTCATTAGAACAATGAATTTAGCTGGATGCAAATCAAACTCTAAATCTCTAATGTCACTTTTTCTTCTTTTTTTCGTTTTTAAAGAAAACAAAATTAATTTTCCGTCGTAAAAGATTTGAATGAGACTGTTTTTCCAACAATGATATGTTTTTGCTGGTTTCAAATAACATCAAGACTCTAAAGATGAAAATGCTTAGGAGATAGCTAACAAAGAACCTATTCATTTGCAATAGTCATGACACACAAGTTTAGAAAAGAAAACAAAAACAATTCAAGATTGAATGATAAATGTTGAGTCAAACTAATTTTTTCAACATTGATTAACTCACAAGGATTTGAGCGACAAAAGGAGGAAGACGTAGCGGTCGAATCAAATAGTAGATAACACGGTAGCTAAAATTGGCAACAAACAGTTGCGTTACAAAGAAAGGAAGCACGGCTGCAAGAGAGCTTCCACTTTCCCATCCATTATGATCTCCGATCACAGCCGCAACAGTTTGGTTATAGCATATTACACTACCGTACCGGGAGTCACTAACATCATATTGCAACTCTTCTTGTTCCGGAGGAACTCCGGTACGACTGGCCATCTTTTGGGATAGAGTCCAATGGGATTCTCTAAAATCCCACAAAGGTTTTGGCCGGCCTCTGCCTTCAACAAAATGTTTGTGTTCATCATGTGCTTTGGTTTTATTGCATTAATAGGTGAGAGCCTACAATCTGTTTTTTTGCTTTCTCTTTCTTTTCTTGTAGTTGCTAATTATAGGTTTTGTATGTTTTTGATGTCAAGGAGGAGACGAGACTACTACTCATTTTAGCTGTTTTTTGTTTTCTCTTTTGAGACTGAAATTAGTTAAATTCTGTTGGTGTTCTTATTTGGTCTTTCTTGTTTTAAAACGGGTGGTTATAAAAACCCAAATTGTGATGTTTTCCTTGTTTTTCAAATAAATAAAAAATTACTTGAGTATCATTTTGTTTAGAATAGATGAGTTATTAGTTTGTATATAAGATAATTTGAGAGAGTTTTCTTTAATTATACTATTGTGGAAAAGGGCAAAAGTAAAACACAGGGTTGCACATGTAATCATGATGTTCTTGGATCGCGAAATTTGGAAAATTAGACAAACAATGATGCAGGTCTGAATATTATCTAACCTTGTAGTATATTAAAAACTTTAGACCATAATTAAAAAGAAAAACAAAAACTAAAAAAAGCCAAGTCTAGTTGGAAAAGTTAATCCAAATGGCCCAGCTTCGGACACCGGCTTCAGCCGCAGCCGGAGATTCCCCACCGGCCATTGCCTTTTCACACACATATAAAAATAAAACAAAATAAAAACATGAAAGTTTGAAAAATCTGAAACTTTCAATAAGATCTGACAAGTTTACACTTTTAAGGTGATGACTTCAAGTTTAAGCACCATGACAAGTCCCTTGAGCCTTTGCCTCTGCTGCAAGAGGAGATGGAACCAAACGTAAAGGGCCTACATGTCTTTTTTTAAACGAAAAAGAGGAAAGACATTCACTTTCACAGCTAAACAGTACCTGGCCATGGACGATCGAGAGAAAAGTTGGTGCAGTTGCTATATCAAAATGTAAAGCAGGCCACTTTATTGTTCTAAAAGCAGCAAATTTCACATTTAGTTTAACCTACGAGGACCCCATTCATGCGCAAAAGGAAGCACAGCATAAAGCTTTGAAAAGGAAAAAAATATGAAGAGTGACCTTAGACCAAACAGCTTCCGATCGAATGCTCAAGCATGGTTTTCAAGCAAATGACCCGAGAGAGAATATCTGAAAACAGTGGATTTGCTGCATCTTAAGCTTTAAAATCTGTAGAAACAGTTAAGAGACTCGGTGGAACCCAGAGGTGAGGGAAAAGGGCACTTTCTTAGCTAAGAATCTCCTGCATTTTCTTGGATTCATAGTCACCTTTTTCTTATTTATGATTCATCTCTCTCTCTTTTTCTCTCTCTCAAAGAGCTCAATTCTCTCTTTCTATATTACCTTCTCTTTCGATCTCTCTGTTCTTCAACTGCTGCAGATAGTCAGCTTAAGAGCTTGAGTTATGGTAAGCCTTCCCATTAATTTTATGTTGCTTTATCCTATCATCTCATCTGAATATGACTACTGAAAATCTTGCTTTGATGAACAATGTTAGGGGACTCCTGTAAATATCACACTCGGGTCACATGTCTGGGTCGAGGATCCAGAACTCGCATGGATTGATGGAGAAGTGACAGAAATCAAAGGCACCAATGCCACAATACTCACTGCAAATGAGAAAACAGTGAGGAGCTACTTTTCATTTATTATATCTAAAACAACCCAAAATGGAGAAGATTTTCGTATGGACTTCTGCAGTATAATTCACAGATTTTCTACAAAATTTTTAAGTATATGTTTGTTTTTTTTTATAGATCGTTGCTAGTATTTCTAGTATCTACCCAAAGGATACAGAGGCGCCACCTGCAGGAGTTGACGATATGACTAAACTTGCTTACCTCCATGAGCCAGGGGTCCTCCACAATCTCGCTTGCCGGTTTTCTTTAAACGAGATCTATGTCAGTAATTAAGAAAGATAACTTAAACATCCCATTGATCAAAACTTTTGAAAGTTAGATGTTGAGATTATCTAATTGCAAACTCTTGAAATAGTGCAGACTTACACCGGAAACATCTTGATTGCGGTGAATCCTTTCCAAAGACTTCCGCATTTGTATAGCGTTCATATGATGGAGCAATATAAAGGAGCTGCCTTTGGAGAGCTAAGCCCGCATCTGTTTGCTGTTGCAGACACCAGTTACAGGTACAACTCTGAGTAGATATAGACTTCAAGCAGTTAGTGTACAAAGCTAAAGGTTTCCATATATACCAGGGCGATGATAAATGAGGCAAGAAGCCAGTCCATTTTGGTTAGTGGAGAGAGTGGAGCTGGAAAAACAGAGACGACCAAAATGCTCATGAGATATCTTGCATTCATGGGAGGGAGATCAGATACCGAAGGGAGAAGCGTTGAACAACAAGTTTTAGAGGTGAGTTTCTTGCTCTGATTTTATCTGCGTCGAATAAACACTTCCACCATTCTAAACTGTTCTGTTTCCAGTCTAATCCAGTGTTGGAAGCTTTTGGAAACGCAAAAACTGTGAAAAATAACAATTCAAGGTGGTATCTATTAATAACACTTACTTTGGACATAATTTTCATTCTTTTCTCCTGGTATCTTTTGTTTTGGCTGTTTGTAATTCTCTGGCGTTCTTCAACAGTCGGTTTGGAAAATTTGTTGAGATCCAATTTGACAAGCGTGGGAAAATATCTGGAGCTGCAATCCGAACTTATCTTCTCGAACGGTCTCGTGTTTGCCAAGTCTCAGACCCTGAGAGGAACTATCACTGCTTCTACATGCTCTGTGCAGCACCGCCTGAGGTAAATGATCAGTAACAATCATGAAAGCAATAGAGCTGGAAAATTTAGCAATACGACAATTATGACAATATGTTCGAGTGTTTCAGGAAGTCAAGAAATTCAAGCTAGGGGATCCAAGGACGTTCCACTATCTGAATCAGACAAACTGCTATGAGGTTTCCAATGTAGATGATGCAAGAGAGTATATGGAGACCAGAAATGCCATGGACATTGTGGGCATTGGACAAGAGGCACAGGTTTGTCTCATGACTCTCATTGTAAACATAGAAATTTCAAATACTGACAAGAAACTTCAACTTAAGGATGCCATATTCCGCGTCGTTGCTGCCATCCTCCACCTTGGGAATGTCAATTTTATCAAAGGAGAAGACGCGGATTCTTCAAAACTCAGGGATGATAAATCAAGATATCATCTTCAAACAGCAGCAGAGCTACTCATGTATCTTCATCTACCAATCCTTAAACATTTACACCTCGAAAATTCTGCACAGTTCTAATGACAGATTTTCAATTATTCACTTGACGCAGGTGCAATGAGAAGATGCTCGAGGATTCACTCTGCAAGCGTGTAATTGTCACTCCGGATGGTAACATCACAAAGCCACTTGACCCTGAATCAGCCGCCCTAAACCGTGATGCTTTAGCCAAGACAGTTTACTCCAGGCTGTTTGATTGGTGAGTAAATCCAACCCCTGAAAACAAAAATGGATATTTTGTCAATCATTAGGTGGAAGCTGCTCTGCCCTCCACAAAAGTTGTAATGGCGCAGAGAAAAAGTAGTTTTCCTTCAGGACTTTGTCTAATTAAATAGTTCTCAGTTTGAGAAATCTCCAACAGTGACCTATGCACAACTCAATTATGGCAGGATTGTGGATAAGATCAACAGTTCAATAGGTCAAGACCCGAATGCTACAAGCTTGATCGGAGTCCTCGACATTTATGGTTTTGAAAGCTTCAAGATCAACAGGTAAACCTGACTGAAAATAAATACCTGAATGATGGGTACACATAGAAATTAAGATCTAATACCACTATTTGTTTGATAGTTTTGAGCAGCTATGCATCAATCTCACAAATGAGAAGTTGCAACAGCACTTCAATCAGGTAGGATATAAAAACACTGAAACCAATTCACACTACAAAAACTTTTACATGGACCAATTTTTCTCTGCAGCATGTATTCAAGATGGAGCAAGAGGAATACACGAGGGAGGAAATAGACTGGAGCTATGTTGAATTTGTTGACAACCAGGATGTCTTAGATCTTATTGAGAAGGTATAAACTATGACATTGACTCCACAACCTGCGCAAGCACATAAAATAATCAATGGCATCTTGTTTCTTGCAGAAACCAGGAGGCATCATTGCCCTACTTGATGAAGCATGGTAAGTGTGTCAGCAAACTATACTACTTGTTAGGGAAACTACATTTTCACAATATCAATCCATAGTAAAGTAGAACTATACTACAGTTTCTCTCGGCATAACCATAAGTTTCATCCTTGCAGCATGTTTCCTAAGTCGACCCATGAGACGTTTGCACAGAAGATGTATCAAACATATAAAGGACACAAGCGATTCAGCAAACCTAAGCTTGCCCGAACAGCTTTCACTGTCAACCACTATGCAGGAGATGTGAGGCAAACACAATTTTAGACGCTAAGCTAATGTAAGTACAGTAGCTAGTTACTGAGCACGCTTCTCTGCCTCAGGTTACATACTCAGCAGAGTTTTTTCTCGACAAAAACAAAGATTATGTGGTGGCAGAACATCAAGCTTTGTTGGATGCGTCTAAGTGCTCTTTTGTCGCCAATTTGTTTCCACCACTTGCAGAGGACGCATCAAAGCAGTCCAAGTTTTCATCGATTGGGACCCGTTTCAAGGTAAGCCGTCTGAAAACATATCATTTGCACATTTCTCAAGATCTTGATTTCTTACCTTAACCTACCTCCAGCAACAACTCCAAGCTCTAATGGAGACGCTAAACACAACAGAACCCCATTATATTAGATGTGTGAAGCCAAATACAGTTCTAAAGCCAGGGATTTTTGAGAATGACAACGTCCTAAACCAACTAAGATGCGGAGTAAGCCTTAAGCCTCAGGTTTTCTAATTGAAAAAGTTCATGTTTTCCCTTAAGGTTTTTGCTTATAGCCGATTTGGGTAAGTGAACAGGGTGTACTGGAAGCTATAAGAATCAGCTGTGCTGGTTATCCAACAAAACGAGCATTCGATGAATTTCTTGATCGTTTTGTGATGCTAGCCGCAGACGTACCAGAAGGGTATAAAATACACAATTACATATTTTGAAAGAAGACAGATTATCACTTTGATCCTATTCACTCCTGATCCAATCAACACTGAGAAACTTACATCATTTATTGACAGATCCGATGAAAAGTCGGCATGTGCTTCAATCTGCGACAAAATGGGTTTAAAAGGCTACCAGGTATGAAAAGCACTGGGTACAGGCATGCCAAATATGAATAATTAAAGCCACCCATTTCAGTCTAAACTTGCATTTTGATTTTTCATTTTCAGATAGGGAAAACAAAGATATTTCTTAGGGCCGGACAAATGGCTGAACTAGATGCACGAAGAACCGAGGTTTTGGCTGGTGCCACTAGACACATTCAGAGGCAGATCAGGACTTATTTGACAAGAAAAGAGTTCCTTGGGCAGAAGAAGGCTACAATCTATATGCAAAAACTTTGGAGAGGTTTTATTCTTTTACCTTTGTCTCAACAGTAACACCCTACTCTATACTAAGCTAGGAATTAAACTGTTATATTAATAGAGCCCTTTATACTAAGAAAAAAGGTAGAATGTGAACATTCTTATCTAATATACAATCTCATAAGCTGATCCAAATATCAGTCAATACACAACGTTTTTCATACTAACTGTGTATCGTGTGTATTACATATATAGCACAACTTGCGCGCAAGCTATATCAACACATGCGACGGGAAGCTGCTTCAATTTGCATCCAAAAGAACATTCGTGCAGATAGAGCAAGGAAATGCTTCACTAACCTCAAGGCATCAGCAACAGTTATTCAGTCTGGTTTACGGTCAATGGATGCTCGAAACAAACATAGACACAGAAGAAGAACAAAGGCAGCAATTATAGTTCAGGTACTAGATTTGGACTACTTTATACAAGTCATGTTTTTATCAAAATATCAGAAGTTTCTGGACTTGTCTTCTTACTGATATATTATATAACAGAGGGAATTGAGAAGATACCAAGCTCATAAAGCTTATAGCCAGTACAAAAAAGCAACATTAGCACTACAATGTCTGTGGAGAGCTAAAGTAGCTCGAAAAGAGCTCAAAAATCTCAAAATGGTAAGTTCCATTGATATGGGGGTACTTTGAGTGATTTATCTCATAAGAATCAATCTACTCTGTCTAAGAGGCAGGCATGCTTCACTCTAATTTACTACAAAAATTCTAACCAAAAATTTTTCCAAACAAAGGCTGCAAGAGAAACTGGGGCACTCAAAGAAGCCAAGGACAAGTTAGAGAAGCGTGTGGAAGAGCTAACCTGGCGTCTCGAACTAGAGAAGCATCAAAAGGTGACTTTTAAAAAAATTAGAAACTGGAGTTCTTTGTTCTGCAACCTAATTGCCTTGGATGAAAGTAGCTAGAGTCAAAAGCACATAGTGGTTTAATTCTAAAAAGATTTGTCATTAGGTTGATCTCGAGGAAGCAAAAGCACAAGAAATCGCAAACCTACAAAATACTTTAACTGGTTTGCAAGAGAAGTTAGATGAAGCCCACGCTGCAATCATACGAGAGAAAGAGGCAGCAAAATTAGCCATTGAACAAGCCCCACCAGTCATTAAAGAGGTTCCAGTTGTAGACAATACTCAACTGGAGTTACTGAGCAGTCAAAACAAGGAGCTGGAGGTAAATTTGAGCTACAAGTTCAACTAACAAGCAGATCTTATCCTGATACAATATCTTTAAAATTCAGGTTGAGGTAGAGAAATTAAAAGGAAAAATCGAGGAGTTTGAAACAATATGTTCTGCACTTGAGATTGATAGCAAGGCAAGTCTAACTGAAGCAGAAGATGCAAAGGCAAAGGCCATTCAACTTCAAGAGGTCATTGAAAGGTATATATAATATTCACTCAGTACTTTAAGGAACTAAAATCATATTTCTATATTACAGTCACGGTTCATGAGTATTATTGGTAAATTCCAGATTACATACGAACCTGTCAGACCTTGAATCCGAAAATCAGGTCTTGCGCCAACAGGCCTTGGCCGCTTCAACAAGCGCCGAAGAGTCTGGACACTTAAACAGGTACAGTCTTGGGAGCTGAACAATTCTCTCATCTTAGTACATTCTATTCTTCATAACTGTGTGAATTTGAAAATTTTCAGTACCTGAACTATAAAAGCAAAAGAAAAATTGATATGAGTTTGTATCTGATATCATCACATATCTGAAAAAAAGAAACAAAAATATACCTCTTATCAGCCTGAAGGATAGGGTTGCAATTTTAGAGTCAGAAAATGAATCTCTTCGAAGACAGACAGCTGCTGAAGAAAAGACAGTGCCTCCTGAAGAAGTTTTTGGATCCGCAAAGGTGCAAAACTTCTGTCAACCAATAATTTTTTTCGTAAAAAAAACAGTTATAACATTTGCATTAATGTAATATGACACTGCAGAATCTTGAAAATGGACATCAAACAGAAGAGATTCAGGCAACAAAGGTCTGTTATCTTTGCTAGGCCCAGTTACGAAACATTACTCTACAGTTCCTCACCCCTTGTTATTTGTTTCAGGAGCCAAGGAATCCAGTCATTGTGTTAGCAAAACAAAGATCTCTAACAGATAGGCAACAGGTATCATTCGCTAACTTGTCTGTACTAAAGAGCCATACGTTGATATCCAACGAAAGCAAGCAAAAGTTATTTCAATATTTGTTTCTTTACAGAAAGAATTTAAAATGATTATTACTGGACAGGAGAGCCATGATGTGCTGATGACATGCCTCACTGACGAGAGAAGGTTTGATAACGGCAGATCTGTGGCAGCCTGGATAGTTTACAAGGCACTACTTCAATGGAGATCATTTGAAGCGGAGAAAACAAATATATTTGATAGAATTGTTCATAAAATTAGATCATCCATTGAGGTAATAAACTAAAGACAATGATAGTGAAATTCTTAAATCTTTGAAACCAAGACAACATATTCAAGTTATACTAATTCTGGTCCAGAAAAGCCAAGATGACACAATGGAACTAACTTATTGGCTCACAACAAGCTCTACCCTCTTATATCTTCTACAATCTACACTCAAATTCAGCAATACAAATAAAGCGGCTTCAGGACGTAACAGATCATCCCGGACTACATTATTTGGGCGATTGGTCCAAGTAAGCTTCGTAAAAGTGAGCCTCCGATTTATCCATTTTGTAAGAGCCTTAGTAATTTTTAGTAACAACATTGTAGGGAATGCAACCATCTGCAGTGGGCTTGGAAAAAACCAGTGGCTACAGTGGGATGGTTGGAATATCAAATGACCAAGAGATGGTTGAAGCTAAATACCCGGCTTTACTATTCAAGCAACATTTAGCCGCATACGTTGAGAAAACATATGGAATGATCCGAGATAACTTAAAGAAAGAGATAAACCCATTACTTAATCTCTGTATCCATGTCAGTACATCATTCCTCAAGTTACTACGGAACGTATCTTAGTGATTAGCTAATCACTTATGTTAACAATATTGTGGTATATGTGAGATGAAACAGGCACCAAGACCAACGAGACCCAGAACATTGCGAGACGTGACTAAAAGCATCCACTTGTCCACAACTGCCAAGCAACAGACATCATATGTACAATGGCAGAACATCATCAACAAGCTTGAACATACCTTGACCTTTATGGCAGAGAATCATGTAAGAGAATGCACTTTCGAAGACTTTCATCTCAAGCTTAAATTTTTCTTTTCTGTTCGTTGACCAAGTCTTCACGATCTCCAGGTCCCATCTATGATCACAAGGAAACTTTTCCATCAGGTTTTCTCGTACATCAATGTCCAGCTCTTTAACAGGTACAGAAGAATATATAGAATAGGACACAAGTAGCTACACTTAGTTACGAGGTTGCTTGAATTACAACGTTTATCTTCTGGCAGTTTGTTGCTTCGCCGAGAGTGTTGTTCGTTTAGCAACGGAGAATATCTGAAAATGGGTTTGCATGAATTAGAGCAGTGGTGCCTGAAGGCAGAAGATGAGGTAAGGCTAAAGCATTTATAATCATATTATGCGAAGAGCAAACAAGAGAAAATGATTGACTTACATTGTTATTTTTCGTTTTTTTTTGTTGTCTCCTACAGGCAGCACGATCACCATGGGATGAACTTCAACACATTAGGCAAGCGGTGAAGTTTCTGGTACTACTTCGAACCATATCTATTGGTGAAAATACATAATTGGTGAGAAAATTCGGCATTTGATGACATACATTATCACTCTACAGGTCCTGCATCAAAAGACACAGAAATCATTGGAGGAGATCACAAAAGAGATATGCCCGGTAAAGACCTTAAACCACAACTTTATGCAAAGCATACATATAGAAGGATCATACTCTGGCACAAATTATCTAGGGACATCTTGATTATGGAAAATAGCTGCAAAAATTTGCATAGAACTCTTTCTCCTGATTTGTTACAAATCTCAAATTATAATTATTTTGTTTTTGCGGAGTAGGTACTAAGCATCACACAAGTATATCGAATTGGGACTATGTTTTGGGACGACAAATATGGAACTCAAGGACTCTCCCCTGAGGTAAGTAATGGACCAAACCAAACCAACTCCAAAACCTTCTTCAAGAAATTTCACAGAATAAATCCAACAAAAACACAATATGCAAAAATGAGAACAACCTGGACTCATGATCCAACGATTTGTGCCGTTTACAGGTGATCAAGCAGATGAGAAAACTAATGACGGAAGATTCAGTCAACATGACTTACCCTTCTTTCTTGCTAGACGTCGATTCAAGGTAAGCTAAGGAAATTTTCAGAGTTAATGGCAGAAAAAGTTTCTTGCTTTCTTCTCAATTTCTCTCCCTAATTACTCTCGAATCCTGAAAGCAAGTCGATTTCCGGTATTGTACAGCATTCCTTTCTCAGTGGAAGAAGTTTCGCAATCCTTCCACGGCGAAACCATTAGCCTCTCCGACGTCGATCCACCGCCGATTCTCCGCCAGCGATCTGATTTCCACTTTTTGTTCCCCGACATTGCCTGAGTAATGCAGACATCAAGATGAAACCTTCTCTTTCATGCAGAAGGCAACGGCTGCAAAATCTTTTTTCTTTTAAATTATTTGTTAAGCCTTGGTTTTTTCATAAATTACAGAAAGGGAAGCCTTTGCCGTTTTAACATTTATGTTCTCACAAGAAGCAAGAAAGCTTCTTCTCTTCTTCTATGATTTCATTTTTTTTTGGTTTGGGGTTGCTTTGCTATATCCTTTACGTTTTACACTTGTGTATAGGTTGGGTTGGGATTCATATAATACATGTTGTACTCTCTTTTTTGGCCAAATCATACATGGTGTATTGAATATTGTATATGTTATTGAGACTGAGGTTTTGTAACATTTTGGATCTGATAGAAAAATAATTCAGATTTTTTTTCATATCTAATAATGTACTTCACGTTTCAACCATAAAAATCAACCACAATGCAAATTGAGTAGTTACATAAGAAACCTAAAAATATATAAAATGCTAAACATAAATTATTTAGAATACGGTTTTTTTTTTCTGCTAATATGAACTAAGTCATTTTCTTAATAACACATTTCAGATTGTAATTTTGATGTACAAATTATAGAGATTCAAGGGACTCAAGTCTGCTATTACGGGACCTTTTGCAAAATGGACATTTCTAGGAAGAAACTATATTTGAAGGGGATCATCGGACATATGGAAATTAGTGGGAATGTTCTGTAAGGATGCCAACTTTTGAGGGATCATTAGGATAATTGATATCTTTGAAAGCAAACACTAATAAATGAATCAGAGGGTTGTAGCTAAAACCCAGCTTCTGTGTTAAAATCTCAGCAACAGAGAGCCATCAAAATTCCGATTGAAGAAGATGGAGTGTGTAATCCCACTGTGGCGGTGCTTCTGTCTCAGTCCACCGGAACTACGCCACCGCATCGTTAACCACAGTCGACGCCATCTCCATCTCTCCTCCTCCTCCTCCTTCGTAGCAGGTCGCTCGCTACTTCATTTCCTCCTTCTTTTAATCAATTTTAGCTATTATAGCCTTACACTCTCTTTGGTCCAATTCCAGGGATATGGCCTCTCCCTGATAAGAAAAATCGATTTCTTGCTCCAGTCACGCAGAGGACTTCCTTGAATCGCCGTACGGGATCACTCGAGCACCTTCCTCTTTCCCTGGTTAGTTCTAGGAAACTTTCGGAATTCTCATTTCATATAAATATGGAAATGATTAGGTCAAATGAGTTCTTGTGCTGTTTGCTTTTATTGATTTTGTCTTCATTTTTATGCGACTCATGATGCTCGTATGGTGTGGAAGGTTTTTGGATAAGGTTGCACAACAAATTTTCAATGGTATCTAAGCTGCTTGTTTGTTCTCGTATTTTCATCTTTTTGTGTACTGTTTCAGAACTCGTCTGTGATTGGTAACTCAGAGGAAGAACTCGAAGAAGAAGAAGAAGAGGATGATTTGGATTGGGAGTCAGAATTTCTTGGGGAGATTGATCCGTTGGAAATCCAACCTCCGAAGAAGAGGAAAAAGCAGGCAAATTCGAAAGCGCTTGAAGATACTGAAGGGATGGATTGGTGTGTAAGGGCAAGGAAACTCGCACTTCAATCGATTGAGGCTAGAGGATTGTCTTCTAGAATGGCGGAAGTGATGCCTCTTAAGAAGAAGAAAAAGAAAAAGAGCAAGAAAGTGACTGGAAACAAAGACAAGGTCAGGATCAAAAGTGTTCCCGAGGATGATTTTGATACCGAGGAAGAAGATTTGGACTTCCAAGATCGATCAATGGAGGATAAAATGGGGGAACTCCGGAAGAGAGTTAGCTCATTAGCTGGTGGAATGTTTAAGGAAAAGAAGGAGAAGACGAGGGAGCAATTAGTTCAGAGACTATCCCAGTTTTCAGGACCTTCTGATCGTATGAAAGAAATCAACCTGAACAAAGCTATAATTGAATCACAGACTGCTGAAGAGGTACTGGAAGTAACAGCTGAGACAATCATGGCTGTTGCCAAAGGCTTAAGTCCATCGCCGTTGTCTCCTTTAAACATTGCCACTGCTCTCCACCGAATTGCCAAGAATATGGAGAAAGTTTCGATGATGAGAACACGTAGGCTTGCATTTGCTCGGCAAAGAGAGATGTCAATGCTTGTTGCTCTTGCAATGACTTGCCTACCGGAATGTTCAGCTCAAGGCATCTCAAATATATCTTGGGCGTTGTCAAAAATCGGGGGTGAATTGCTTTATTTGACAGAGATGGATCGAGTCGCAGAAGTTGCCACGTCAAAGGTTGGGGAGTTTAATTCTCAGAATGTTGCTAATATTGCAGGGGCTTTTGCTTCCATGCGGCATTCTGCTACAGAACTCTTTGCTGAGTTGTCAAAGAGGGCATCTACTATTATCATCACCTTTAAAGGCCAAGAGATTGCTCAACTATTGTGGTCATTTGCCTCGCTTTATGAGCCAGCCGATCATTTACTTGAATCTTTGGATAGTGCTTTCAAAAGCAGTGACCAGTTCAAGTGCAGCTTGACGAAAGAAACATCAAACTATGATGAAGTAGCAGACGTTGGAGTAAGCGATGGTGCTTCAGGACCTCCAGCACTTAGCTTTAACAGGGACCAGCTTGGAAATATAGCATGGTCTTATGCTGTTCTTGGGCAAGTGGAGCGACCTTTCTTTGCCAATATATGGAATATCTTAACCACCTTGGAGGAGCAAAGGCTTTCAGAGCAGTATAGGGAAGATGTCATGTTTGCTTCTCAGGTGTATCTTGTGAATCAGTGCTTGAAGGTTGAGAGTCTCCACCTTCAGTTGTCACTTTGTCATGGGCTCGAAGAAAAAATAAACCGCGCAGGAAAAACCAAAAGGTTCAATCAGAAAATAACCTCATCTTTTCAGAAAGAAGTTGGACGCCTTCTCATAAGTACAGGGCTTGATTGGGTTAAAGAATATGATGTGGATGGCTACACCGTTGATGTTGCGCTGGTCGAGAAGAAAGTTGCTTTAGAAATCGACGGGCCAACTCATTTCTCAAGAAACACCGGTAAGTGCCAACACTCTGTTTCTCTATTTAACTTGATGTCTAGTGAAGCCAACCCAAACTCAATGATCATTTCGGCTTTTGTGTCTTTACAGGACTACCATTAGGGCATACAATGCTGAAGCGGAGATATGTTTCTGCTGCTGGATGGAAGGTGGTATCCTTGTCTCATCAAGAGGTGTGTTTAAAACGTTAAAAACTCCATTTTCGAAATTGAGTTGCTAGGATGATGCTATGGAATCAAGTAGACATTGTTCTCTATTTTTTTTTAAAAAAAAAATTGTTAATAATGTTTGTCCATCTCAGTAACGAGTTTAAACATCTGAACATGTGTTGACTTTGTTTTTATTATTTTTCTAGTGGGAAGAACATGAAGGCAGTCATGAACAGCTGGAATATCTGAGGGAGATTCTCGACGGCTGCTTATAGAGAAAGACAGAAACGAAATACGTATGGCATTGTGATTCCATGGTTGTTAATTAAAGTTCTCTTTTCCTTCATGTATATAGGTAAGATTGTTGTATTAGATTCATGATTTATGTTTAGAGCCATAAAACAGAATTAAATTCCATTTAAAACATAAATACATCTTCATCACAAGCTTCTGCCATAGTTATTTCTCATGCGACATGAAATCTAGAAAACACATATAAAAGCAAAACAACATATCATAGAGAGACACTAGTGCTTGATCTGGGTCAACATAGTCCTGACATCTTTGCTGTTAGGCCTCTGTTTCGGATCAGCCAAAGTACAGTAACAAGCGATTTTCAGAACCAGAAGCATCTGGTCATCGAATCCTTGTCCCATCAACTTCGGATCAATCGCAAGGCTTGGATTCTCTGATGTTATTGTGTTCCTCATCCACTTTATCAGACTCATCTCCTCAGTATGCTGAAAAAACTCATCTGAAGGAAGCTTTCCAATCACCAAAACCCCAAGAATCACTCCAAAACTATAGATATCACATTTGTCCGTGAACTTGAAAGTTTGATGATATTCTGGTGCTATGTATCCCACAGTACCTGCACAATTTGAGAGGGTAATATGTGTGACCGCATCAGGCATTTGCTTTGCGAGCCCGAAATCTGCAATTCTGGCCTCCATGTCATCATCAATAAGAACATTTCCTGGCTTCAAGTCTCTGTGAATGATTCTTGGGTTATGGTCCATGTGAAGGTACTCAAGCCCTGCAGCTATACCTATAGCAATCTTGTGCCTTGCTGGCCACATTAACTCTTTGGTTCCAGCGGACACATCAGTCAATATATCTTGCAAACTCCCGTTCTTCATGAACTCATAAACGAGGAAGTGGCACTCGGGTCTCGGTACGTGAGCCAACAATGGTAGAAGATTCCGGTGACGGATTTGGCCGACTGTGTTGATCTCTGATCTGATTTGCCTCATTTTCTTGTTCAGAAACTTGGATTCTTCGTCTGCAAGTTCAGTGGCGTCTTTAGCCGGTTGGATAACTTTCTTAACGGCAATGATCTTCCCATCGCTTCCGGGTAGTTCTGCTTTGAAAACCTCTCCACAACCTCCTCTTCCAATGATCTCCAGAGAAGATAACGCTTCTTCGTTCTCCAAGAAAGCTAAATCTTCGCTCTTTTGATCAATGGGCTGAATATTTAATCCAAAGCGA